TCCTCCTTTCCTTCCTCTGTCTTCTTCTTTTTTCTTTCTCTCCCTCCCTTCTCCACGCACCCTTGCCCCCCCACCCCCCCAACCCCCCTTCCCTCGCCATATGTCTAGTTGTTCCATAGGGATTCTATTGTGCTGTCCTGGCTTGTTACCTGGAAGCATTGTTTTTAAAAGTTAGCAGATAATGACCGCAAGGTCTTCACCCTGTGCTTCTTGGTATACTTATGAGAAGTTATGATGGCAACTTGCTACACTGAAGTCGCAGAGGTCTGTTCCCTCCGAGCACATGTGCAGACAGTACTGAAAGCATACTCACACTAGCACTCTCCTGGATGTATCTGACTGCAATTACGGCCGATCCTGGATGCATCTGACCACAATTACGTCCAGAGAGGAGTTGAAAAAGTCCTAGTGTATGTATGCCCCTAGTAGTACTGCTGGAGTGTTATTATTTTTAGACCAGGATCGTTTGAGCCTTTCGAAGTCTAGTAATGCATGATGGGCTCCAGATGGCCATTGAAATAATGAGACCCATTGGAGATATTGGTGGGTTTGAACCACCAGTACCCCAGGGGTCTTACCCCCCCCCCCCCCCCCTTCTGGGAAGGCTCTGATGCAAATGCATATGGACCTGCACGGCGCACCTATTCAGCCACCACATTAATGGCCTAAAAATGTCGAGGTACTGGTGGGTTTAACAGAGCACTTTTGTGAGAACGGCCAGCAGCAGGTACGTGTCAAAGCATGATGAGAAAAACAAATCCAAATCCAAATCCAAATCCAAATCCAAATTCGAAACCATTCTGGCGAAACACCTTTGGGGAAGAGATTCACAATTTCACATGCAATGCACTTACCTCGCGAATGATCAGAGTTTCGAACAGAGTCGAAAATTTTGCCAAGCGTTGTCGTATGCGTCTTCCCATCTTTTTCTAGGGGCATTGGAGGGATTCGATTCCATCCGTCCATAATCGCCTGTGCAGCATTGCGGATGGGTGTCGTCGAATAATGACCTGCCTCAGACTGAGTGCTAGAACCATTCTTTAAATTCTTTTCTTTCTTCAAATACTCCATTGAAAATGGAGCCCTCAGGTCATCCGGAACACTCTCCACCTGCAAAATGAGAAAAGTTAGAAAACCGAAGACAGCAAACTTCTGGAAAAAAAAAAAAAAAAAAAAAAAAAAAAAAAAAATTGTGAACAGGACAAAAAGTCAGCAAGGAACGAACTGTGCAGGTGCAACATAAGGAGGAAACTATAATTAGACTATTAGTTAGTATCATGGTTACGATCCGGACGTCCGGAGCCCAGTTCGGACCGTCGGCGTCTGGACTTCCGGGCAGACATCCGGTCGTGTAGGTCCAGTAGGTCCGGAATTTAGAAGGAAAGAAATCACCAGCGAGGAGCATTAGGACCTGTATGTACTTTCAAAACAAAAACAAAAAAAGGAAATCACCAAACAGAGAGACTATGTAGTATGCACTAATACATGCACCTGGCCCACAAACTGGACAACATTCGGTTGCACTCGGTTGTGAAGCTCAGTGGCGGTGTGGCATGACCTATCTGACCACTGAAATGACGCGGTTTTCCGAACCCCCAAAAGGCCTACCCTCTTCCCCCAAACATAACGCATATGCATTGTAAACAAATATGATGCATAGGTTGCTTTCTATTCAAATACAATGCACATGTGCTCTATTCGAACATCCCTTATATTCGAATACAATTCATATGCGTTCTATTCAAATCATTGATTTTTTTTTTGAAAACTTGAATACAACTCATATGCGTTATGTTGGGGGGAAGATGGTAGGCACGGAGGAGCAGAGCCTTGGCAATATGAAGAAGGGTCACGGTAAGGGTGGACTGACCCAGTCTGCATGGGTCACTGCTCAAGGCTAGGGTAGGGAGAGAAGAGACTGAAGCCACAGCTCCAACTGTATGAGGGACAGCAATGAGAGTCACATAAATTTTACTCCGAGAAAGCAGTATTTTACCGGCAGCTATCGTCTTCACCCGAAGAGAACGCCCGGTCATTATAGCCATAGTTGGGGCAACTTTCAGTGTAGATACAGCGATAATGACCGGGCGTTTTATTCGGTTGAAGACGGTATGGGACTTGCTGGCAAACCAGCATTTGTTAACGTCGGCTACCTCAGAATTAAACTCCTGTGCTCCCCCATGAGAGAAAGCCGCGGTTAAACACTGCCTATGGGCTTGCTGACTGACAAACGCACGGCTAAGAACATCGCTGGCCAGACTCTCCTCAATTCTAGACCACAGAGAGGCCAAAATAGGCCATAACCTGCTTCCAGTCAAGCCTCTTTTTTTTTTTTTTTGATACAAATCCAAGAGCACTTCATGAATCGAGAACCAACTTTGCTGGGTCAAGTGGTAGGCACTACCAAACCGGTCACTATCTGAGCTGCAACTGGATTGTCGGTGAATCCTGGCCTCCTCTTGCACAGGTTGAACATCTTGAAGGTGAGCCATCCGATAAGCAGGCAGCCTTTTTTTTTCGTTTGTTTTCATTTCTCGTGTGCTGTGTCTTTGGTTCGGTTTCGTTTTCAGTTCTAGCGTGTCGTTTTGTGCCCCTGCCTGCGGTGGTCTTACTTTTTTTTTTTTTTTTTTTTTTTTTAATTTACTAAAACGTAATCAGTTTTTTTTTTCAAACAGTCACATCCACCGTAAGTGCTGATGGTGTAACGAGTGCGGCAAAGTTGGGCAAACGTAATCAGTTGGTTAATATGGTGTCCACTCTATGAATAGGGGGTAAGTTTGGCTAAACTTGCCCTTGGGTTTTGTTATAAATGGTGTGACAAATTGTCTGAAAGTTTAGGGCCTCTGTTAACAATCTCTCTGGACTGGTGGATCTCCTCAAGACTGTTCTGAGAGCAATCACTGCAAGAAGAGCATACTGCGGTATTACTGCCCGCCAGGTAATGGCTGTACATCAGCTTAGTCCTTGCCAAACTTACCCGCTATTCATAGAGTGGACACCATATCCTGTCTGCAAGAAAAGCATACTGCAGTGTTCTGCCCATCACATCGCACAATCAAACGACCACTACTTTTGAGTCTTGACCCTTCCCTTGCCGAACCTGGAAATGCCCTGTGAGGCTGTGCCAATAACAGAACAAACCGGCACCCGGAAACGCCCTGTGCCCAGTGTTGCATACCCCGATTTTTGGTGCCCCTTGACTGGACGGCACCTACCAGCGAAGGGTCGTCGGTACCCTTCAAAAAAAAAAAATAATAATAATAATAAAAATCTTTTTGGGTCCAGAACCCCCAATAACCCCACCAACACCCCCATACCCACCCTCAATACCCCCATACACCCCCCCGACACCCCCAAACCGCACCCCAAACACCCCCAAACCGCCCCCCAACACCCTCATACCCCCTATACCACCCCTAGTAATCCCTCCCCACCCCCCTAAATTCCCAAAAGTTTCACAGCGGAAGTGCAGTACAGCCCCCAACTCAGATTTGAAATAAAACCAGTGCATGCCA